ACAGCTACAGAGCTTAAAAGCCTATCTAATTTAAGTTTAGGTGAAACATGGTTCTGCTCTGTGTGTGAGAGAGAGTGGTAAGAGAGAGAGAATGAAGCATATTGAAATCACTGAGCAATGTTGTTGTTATGTGCTGTCGAGTCATAGCGACCCTGTGTACAACAGCCCTAAACCCTGCTCTATCCTGTGCCAATCGCCCTGCCTCTGACACACCTATCCTGATTACCCCAGTCACTGAATCAATTCATCTCATAGAGGGTCTTCCCCTCTTGTGCCGTCCCTCCACCCTCCCAAGCGTGATGTCCGTCTCCAAGGATCTGTCCCTCCTTGAAACATGCCCAAAGTATGTCAGACGAAGCCTCAGAATCCTTGCCTCCAAGGAGTAGCTTGGTTTAACCCTCTCTGGGATGAATCTGTTTTCTTGGCAGTCCATGGTACATTCAATACTCTTCTCCAGAACCACAGCTCAAAGGCGTCAATTAATTCTCCTTCTGTCCTCCCTAGTCATTGTCCAACTCTCTGATGCATAACAAGTGATTGCAAGGACCATGGTTAGTTACTATTATTTGTGTGGTTGCTATCCTTGACCTAACTACAATGAGACTCGTCAGAGGATAGCAGAAATAGATCAACTCTGTCAAAACTGAAAACAAGTTGGATGGGGAGCCTGATGTGATTGATGAGGGTGTATTAACTCTCCACGTATTTGCAGGTGCTTCTGATTGGAAATACATTTGAAATAAAATGTGTGCAACCATTTAATGGACGTATTTGCACACACATACCATGACTGTAATACATACATATATCAACCATGTAGAATCTGGCCCAAAAATGAATAATTTGTTCAGAAACTAATATTTTTTTGCAAACTAGAAATATCTTTGGGGTTGAGCAGAAGTAGATGGAAGGTGATTGGGAGTTTTGCATTTTCCCTGGGTTGTTTTGGAAATGGCATAAATCCAGCAAGGGCTTTTTAAAGGGCAAAACTGATGTAATCTAGAATATAGAACAGAGGGTCACAATAGTATCTATATTGTACTCCCAGAGGATTATGTGAAAAAGTAGATAATGGTATTTTTGTAAACTTTTAATTATAAACAAATACAATTTGCTGTTTTAATCTCAAAGTAGAACCACATGAATATCAATTATAGAATCACCACAGCTCCCATGTGCCACTCATTTAGGATAGAGCTAGGGGCAGACAGCCAGGACAACAGAAGAGTCTGCATTGCCCCAGTGAGGACTCTGGACTACTCTGCTAGGACTCTCGGGAAAAGATAGCATAGAAAGGTTGTATTATGCTTCTTACCACTACAAAGACTGTACAAAAGGAATGTTTTTATTGGCTAGTTGTGGTCTTAAAGCAGAAAGAACTTCTTTAACCACCCAGACATTTCCTAGGTTTTCTTGTATAGATGGCAACAAGAAATTGTCAGTCCTATGTTCCTGGCTGGATTAGTCTAAGAAAATGGACAAAAGCAAAGAAATACATAGGCTTCTCAAACAATACATGTATAGACACAACTCAAACACCGAGGTAAGAAGAAAGGATAAATAGAAACACTTTTCCTTGATTGTATTTAGTACATATCATGAACAATTTCACCTCAATTAAGTCCCAAACTAAATTATTTGAATAGGTAAAAAAAAGGTATTTCACAAATAAACTCATAGTTGTAGATTAAGTTTTAGAACATACTTTGGTGTTTTGAATCAGGTCATATTCTCTAGCTCCTACTGATAAATGAAAAGAAAAATAACAGATTAAAAGAAATTCTTGCAAGTAATAACATTTAGAACACTTAATTACAAAGCAAAACACAAACCAGAAGTAGTTATAAATGATAGGCTTTTCCAGAAATAAGGCTCTTAAAAAAAAAAAAAAGAAAGAAAGAAGGCTCTATCCATCATCAATAGTCAGGAAATAACCAACTTCATTTCTTTTAAAATTAAATTGTTTCTGTGTTTTCTGTCTAAATGTGTTTACTTTTCCTCTGGCAGCCAGAGAAATTATAATTTAATCTTACTCTTAAAAGAGAGAATTAAGGAGAATTGTATATAAAGCAGTTTGAAAGGGGGTCCTGAAAGGATAAATAGAAAGCAGACATAACCAAGTTGGTGGCTAACTGAAAAAAGGGAAGCAGAGAAGAATGCAGAAGACTAAATTTATTTTAAAGGATAAAAGAAGCTTGTGATGCTCCTTCGAAACTGAAAAAAATGACTTTTAGTGGTATGTAAACTTAAAGTAAATAGATATGTGAGTAAAGGAAAATAAAAGAAAGGAGAGAGAGAAGGTGAAAGACAGGGTGCATGATTTTGGAGAGATATCAGGAATGTCCTCACACTTTGCTTCTTGGTCATTTGTTTTCCACGGCACTGAGAACTCTATCAGAAATCCGTATGCTTGATTACTGTTATTCTGGGCTGCCTGTTAAATAATAGGACATCCATTTGTCAAATTCTTTGGTGAGAAAGTTTTAATTAGGAAGAGGGTACCAGACAAGAACACAGTAGATCTTTCCAGGGTAAAAAGAAAGTAATGAATCAATAGGGCAATGCTGACAATGTGACAGATCTCAGAATGAATGTCCCTCGTCTTATCATCTTCCAAAGAATTCATTGGCACATGAATTGCAGATGACATTAAAGCATTCAGGATCTTTTTAACAAAAGTCTGAATCTACAAACATGGCAGTAGAAGAGATCAGACACAAGAAAGGAAAAGTGAGGCCAAACTGAGACCTACACCCAGTTTAAAATCAAGTACAAAATTCAATCATAAAATGCAAGTATCAAAACTGTCTTCTCAGGTTCAATTCATATTGTACCATGTATCATGACTCCATTTCTCATGTTGTCTGAGTAGTATGTATGCATCTTGTGTTGTCTATTTGTCTGCTCTTAAGTATTTAGGTTGTTTACATCTTTTAGGAACTGTGAATAATTTTGCAATGGACACTGTTGTTTAAGTTTTTGAATCTCTGATTTCAAATTTTCCTGGGAAATGCTAGAGAGAGAATTTCTGGGTCATGTGGTAATTCTATTGCTAATGCTTTGAGAACCACTACACTGTTATCCACAAATGATCACCATTTTGCATTCCCATCACAATGAATAAGAGTTCCAGTTTCTCCAAATTATCACCAAAATGTGGTCTTTTATGTTCTCTGTATTAAATAAGATCCCAGCCATTCATATCTCATGTTGGTGTTGATTTGCATTACCTTGGTGACTATAACATTGACTATCTTTTTATGTGTTTGATGACCGTTTGAAGGTCCTCTTTGATGAAATATCTACCTAAGTTCATTGCCCATTTTATAATTGGTTTATTTGCCTTTATATGGTTAAACTTTTTTTAGTACTTTTATTTTGGTTGTTAGCTTCTTCTCAGCTTTATGGTTTCTGAAGATATTCTTGCAGTCTTAGTTTGGTGACCAGTTTTTCAATCTGACTTTGTTGGTTGCACCACTTTGCAGCCCAGCAGAAATGACTCATTTGCCTGACAATTATACACAGAATGATTTTCAAAATAATTAAGGAAGACATGGAGGTACTCAAAGTATACTGATGACATGCATATTTACAGATTTCCATTCCATACTTTAGGACTGAATGTGAGTATCTTTTATATGGGGAGGTATTTTGAAGAGTTTTATGCCTGAATGAAATTTTTAAGTATATAAAATTACGAAGAATTAATTTGAGGTTCTATTTTGGGCAATAAAAATGAGCATATAAATGATAAAAAGGTTCCTAAAATGTTTTGATAAGATTGATTGACCCATTGACTGAAGCAATCAGCTTGAATGTGTAAGAGATGATGTGGATGAAGCAAAACAAAACAGGGTTCAGGTCTGTTGTTTGTAGAGTTTCCATGAGCCATACCTGAATCAAAGGCATCTAACAACAACAATATTAACAACAGTTTATCAGTAATACCTAATTCTAATTTCATGTGATGACAAGTGTACTTCTGGTATTTGAAGCAACTGAGATTTGGAAGTTTATTACAAGTTAACATTACACAATATTAATAGATCTATTTAACACAATGTTATTAAGAAATACTTACTGAGGATTCAAGAGTGAACTGTAATTTGAAATATTTCCAGGACATGAGTTTGTTTTCTTTTGTTTGTTCGGTTTTTTTTAAAAATTAATTTTATTTTATACTGGTTTACTTATATCCAGGATGTGAGTTGTAATCATTTCTCTTCCATATTAAGTAGTGATATGACCTTGAACAAATCACGTAATCTCCCTATGCTAGATACTTCCATTACCTTTCCTCTCTAAAAACTTACAGTTCTATGGTGCTAAGTCTTAGAACTGATAATTCAGGGTTTTTTTTTAAAGGCTATGTAAAGGTAGGCATTTGCCATAATGCTTTTGAAATGAAGATTACTTTTCCTCTCCTTTGTATATGTATTATTCCATTGTAACATTTTGCTGCTTTCTAATTGGTATCTTTCACTGGTCACTTTCTTCAATAAGCTAAAAAGTCCATGTCTCTAAAGACCACATTAGATTTTCTTTATCTATTCAAGGCTAGCACAATGCCTGCCCATGAGATGAAATGGAAAAAAAAAATGCATGGTCAGTGAGGATTCAGCAAAAATACATAGTAATATTTTTAAAAGTACAAATAAGGAATTACACAGTATAAGGCGGAGAACAGTCCTTGAGCAGAGGCCGCTGGAAGGGGAGGTGGTAGGCTCAAGGCTATAACTGTTAGATTGCAGCTAGACATTAGGTCTTCTGCCTGGGAGTAAAGAAGATGGATAAAAAGAATGAGTATTTGAATCAGGACACAAAATATCCTGATTAACTGAGAAAGTATGTCAATTTTAGAAATGTCACAATCAGTTGACATAGATTAAAGTTGAAAAAAGAAAGAAATTGAAGAAAATAATTCAATAAATTTTTGTGATTTCTACAACCTGTTTCTCCTCCCCACCTCTAGGCTTGATTCTTTTTAACAAGGCAGTGACATGGAAAAAAGGAATGAGTCATTGAATGTGGATTTCATCCTTTTGGGTCTTTTTCCTGGTATGAAACATGTCAATATCCTTGTTGCTGGCATCCTCCTGATCTACATTGTGGCTCTTGCTGCAAATTCCATTCTAATTCTTCTCATTTGGGTGGATTCTCACCTCCACACACCCATGTACTTTCTGCTCAGCCAGTTGGCTCTCATGGACCTGACACTAATCTCTAGCACAGTACCGAAGATGGCAACTGACTTCTTCTCAGGAAGAAGAAACATCTCACTGATGGCCTGTGGGACTCAGATCTTCTTCTTTCTGACTCTAGGAATTGCTGAGTGCATCCTAATCACACTCATGTCCTATGATCGGTATGTGGCCATCTGCAACCCTCTGAGATATGCCCTCATCATGAACCAGAGGGTCTGTCTGCAGATGGCTGCGTTCTCCTGGGCTGGAGGTGCCCTTATATCATTGGTACACACTGCATATGCTCTGCATTTTCCAACCTGTGGTTCCAGAGAGATTTCACATTTTCTCTGTGAAGTTATGGCCATCCTAAAGTTGGTCTGTGAGGATATCTCTGCCTATGAGAAGGCTGTGGTGGTGACAAGCATTGTAGTACTCTTCATTCCTTTGTCCCTCATCTTGTCCTCTTATGGTCTCATTTTCCTTGCAGTCCTCCGTATGAACTCTCCTGAGGGCAGAAACAAAGCTTTGGCCACTTGCTCCTCCCACCTGACCGTGGTGAGCCTCTACTTTGGTCCAGCTATGGTGGTCTACATGAGGCCTAGTTCCTACCACAGTCCCAAACTTGACCACATTCTCTTTATGCTTGGTGCCATTCTTACTCCCATGATGAACCCACTCATCTACAGCCTGAGAAACAAAGAAGTGGTGATTGCTCTCAAAAAGGTGTTAGAATGCTCCCTAACATAGAATTAGATGAAAAATACATTATAGATATTAATCACTAACTTTTGTTGTTAGGTGTCATTGAGTCAACTATGAATCACAGCAACTCAATGAACAACAAAGAAAAAAAGTTTGCCCTATGCCTAACTTTCACAATCTATGACATACTCAAGCCTATTGTTGTAGTTACTGTTGTTAATTCTCTCTCTGAGGGTCTTGAAATTATTGATTTCGTCTTACTTGCATCTACGATCAACACCATAAGTACCAGAAATCAGGCAGGAGCTATATGCATTGGGAAGAGCTACTGTCAAGAACCTCTCCAAATTATTCAGGAGCAATCATGTTGTGAAGACTAGGGTGTGCCTGAATCAGAACATAGGCTTTTCAATTACTAGCTATGCAACTGACAGCTGGAAAAAGAATTAAAATGACAGAAGAGGAATTGATGCCTTTGAGCTGTAGTGTTGGAGAAGAGTACTTCCTATTCAGTGGACTGCCAAGAAGTATAAAATAATTTGTCTTGGAAAAAGTAGAGCCAGAGTGCTTCTTGGAGGCAAAGATGGTGAAGCTTTGTCTCATATACTTTGGGCATGTAGTTAGGAGGGGCTTTTCCTTGGAAATGGGCATTATGCGTGGAAAGGTTGAGGGTTATTGAAAGAGCGGAAGACCTTCTACAAGATGGATTGACATCATGAGTGCAACAATGGGCTTAAGTATTTCAGAGATGATTGAGATGATGCAAGACAGGCCAGGGTTCAGCTCTGTAGTTACTTTTCCTAGTAGATGTCTCTTTCCAAGGACTGACCTCTCCTGACAACACACCTAAAGTATGTGAGAATTTTTCACTATCCTTGCAACTAGAAATCTATCTGATTGCACTTCCTTCAAGATATTGTTCTTTTGGCATTCTATGGTATATATTAAATATTCTTTGCCAATATAGCAATTAAAAGGTACCAGTTCTTCTTTCTTTTTCCTTATTTAATGTCTAACATTCAGATGTAGAGAAAGCAGTTGAAATGCCATGGCTGGGATCAGATGAACCTTAGTCTTTAAACAGACACTTTTGCACTTTAGCACTTTAAAGAGGTTCTTGACAGCACATTTCCTTTCCCCCAAGCACATTTCCTCAACGCAGCATGTCGTTTGCTTTCTTGACTGCTGCCGCCATGGGTGTGGATTATGGATCTAAGTAAAAGGAAATAATTGACAATGTCAATCTTTTCTCCTTTCTCACAATGTCACCTATTAGTCCAGCAATGAGAATTTTTGTTTTCCTTATGTTGAGGTGTAATCCAAATTGAACCTGTAGTCTTTAATCTTCTATAACAAGTGCTTCAAGTCTTCTTCACTTTCTGCAAACGAGGTTATATCGACATAACGCAAATTGTTGATGAATCTTTTCATAGTTTATGTAGTCCAGCTTCTCAAACAATTTACTCATACAAATGGAATAGAAATGGAGAAAGGATACAACCATCATGCACACATTTCTTATTTTAAACCATACAGTGTTCCCTTATTTTGTTTGCTCAACTGCCTCTTGGTCTATGTACAGGTTTCACATGAGTGCAATGAAGTGTTCTAGGATTCCCACTCAATATTATACATAATACGTTATGATTTACAGAGTCAAATATCTTCACATAATCAATAAACTACAACTAAGCACCTTTTTTGTTTTTTTCTGCTTTCAAAAAATATCTATCTGACATCAGCAATGATTGCTGTGTTATAGCCTCTTCTGAAACCAGCTTAAATTTCTGACAGTTCTATACAAATATACTACTATTGCAGCCATTTAAAAATAATATTCAGCAAAATTCTGCTTGCATTTGACATTAATATTATTCAATAATTTCTGCTTTCTCTTGGATTACCTTTTTTTTTTCTTTTCGAATGGGAACAAGTATTAATCTTTTCCAATCAGTTGGTGAGGTAGATGTCTTCCAAATTTCTTGGCAAAAACTGTTGAGCATATCCAGGACTGCCTATGTTTTTTGAAACACCAGAAATATTGTATCATTTCCTGGGCCACTTCCCACCCCTCAATGCCTTCAGTGAAACTTGGATTTTTTTCCTTCAATATTATTGGTTCTTGATAATATGACACTTTTTGAAATGGTTGAATGTCAACAAAATATTTTTGGTAAAGTGTTTTTATGTGTTCCTTCCTTCTTCTTTTGATCATTCTTGCTCTGATGGACGAATGGGTAAGTAGTTGTACTGCCACCCCAAAGACAAGGGTTTGAATTCACCAGCTGCATTGCAGAGGAAAGAAGAACAATTACCTCCTGTAAGATTTGCAGTCTCAGAAAACCCTGCTGGAGGGTTAGCTATTGTCAATTCCAATTTTATAGCAATGAGTGAGCATCATTCAATGTTTTTTTCCATAGAATCCTTTAGTATTACAACTTGAAATAGACCGATGAACAATTTTAATTGAATAATATTTTTTTGGTGTACTATTCGATGTTAAAAAACAACTATTCCAAGAATGACAAATTAAAGAGATTTCACTGTCTCATATCTGTTGAGTCAGAGCTGACTTATAGCTGACCCTTCATTGATTTTTTTTGAGGCTGTTAGTTGTACAGCAGGAAATAACTCATTTTTCTCTACCAAATGGGAGGCCAGTGGATTCAAACCATCTTTAGGTTAGTAGTACAACTATCTACAAACTACACCACTAGAACTCCCTAACTGAAGAGTTGCTGTTGTTATGCATGATTGAATTGGAACCAACCCATAGCTGACCTTCTAGTGGGTTTTCAGAGGCAAAAAATCAGAGAAGGAGATTACCTATTTTTATCCCATGGAGCAGCTGGTAGATTGGAACAATGTACCTTCAGGTTGGCTGTGCAGCTCCTTGCCATTAGGCCACCAGAGCTCAAATGAAGAATGTTATTGTTGTTATGTGCCGTTGAGTCGTTTCCGACTCATAGCGACCCTATGCACAACAGCCCTAAACCCTGCTCTATCCTGCGCCGACCGCACCGCCTCTGACACACCCATCCCGATTACCCCAGTCACTGAATCAATCCATCTCATAGAGGGTCTTCCCCTCCTGCGCCGTCTCTCCACCCTCCC